AGACTCCACTGCAAACATAGAAAAAAAGTGAAGCACAACTGGTCAGGTTGCAGAAACAGAGACTGCGAGTGGAAAAAAATAGGACAAGACCTCAAAAGCTAAGACAACTAATGCAGAGAAACAAAAACAGTTGCAGGGACTGTGTTCACAAATTATTTCAGACTAACTAAAGATGAGGCTAGACAACATACATTATTTGGGCAATAGATAGCAAATTCATTTGAGAAAAAGTTTTCACCATCTAATGTCTCAAAAAGTTATGGGGTAGGCCATACTAATGGAAATATTGTTGAAATGCATCTTCTCCTTTAATCTGGATTACCTACCAAAATCAGGTACTAACTGACTTAATAATAAGTGCTATAATTAAAGCAAGTAAGAGTAACATTCACTTTGATGTCAACAAATCTTGATGCAAAGAGCACATTCTCTTTCTATGAAAAAGAATTTTAACTATGGATCCCTGCTTTAAGTTTGTCCTCAGTTATGAAAATAAACTGTTCTCCCGTTCCAGTTCAATGCTGTCCGAAAATTTAATGACATAAAGTTTCTCACAGCTCTACAATTAGAGTTACATTGAAAATTATTTCATGAATGAGTAACAGTGGCATACAATATCCTTTTTACAGAAGACCCGGTCAAGTCATTCAGATTTAGCACACCTTCCTGTGTTGCAACAGCTGCAGGAATGATACCAAGTGATCTAAGAAAGTACGGATTTCCTGAAGAGAATCTCAAACTGGAGAGAAACACGAGATGCTGCTTGTCTGCCACAGGATGCAAACACCAATCCATTAGAAGGGCTAGGCTGTCCTACTCCTGCACTATGGTCTGGCCTTCCTCCCTTGGCCAGGAATGAACTAACCATGTGGGCTGAATTGGCAGTCTCTTTTTGTAGCTGCATAGCAGGGATTTACTTCAAATAACGTCAATTCCTTAGATTAATAACTGGGGAGCTGACTGGGACAGTGTACGAGATATTGCCAAATGTCTCTTCTTCTTCCTGGTTCACCTCTACAAAGTTCCTTTAACTCTGCAACACATGGTCCTCTAGGGTCTTACAGTGACTTTCACTCTACTGCTTCAGTAGTAAAAATCACTGTTAAAACACTATTCTTGAAAAAAGAGCATCCTGAATAGCTAGAGGGCCCCCAAATCATTTTATATTTCAAAAGTTGCTTCACAGGCAGATTTCTAACCTGGTGTTTACAGCCTTCCTCCCTTTCCTTGCTGCTAGAAGAGAGAACATGCAGTTGTCAGGAGCTCACAACAGCATGCATAGGTAGACACATAAAAATAAAAAAAACCTTTATCACTTTTAGTTGTCCAGTGTTTCTTTAGGCATTCTAAAGCTTCACAGATGAGTTCAAGAAAGAACCTACTGCTGCTTTTGAAGGTAACCTCATTCAACTGCTCCATGAAGAAACAGTTTGTACCAGCTGACAAGTCTTTGACTTTCTCCATATAGTGTTTGCCTACTACAAGCAAACTGCCATAGCTTCATCAAAGTACGGCTTCTACTACGCCTGTCTCACTCAGTTGACAGGCCCTAAGGAGAAAGCCATACATTAGATGCTCTGAGATACTAAAGCTCTACTACAGTCGCCTGTTAAACAACTTTGAAAACTCAAGTCAACTTGAAAACAAATCTATTAATGGCATTCGAGTACAAAAATACTTCTTTTTTTCCCTGGTCTATGCAAGAAGAATGGAAACAGACCGTCTTAATGATATCTGAGCAGGAAAACAAAGTTTGCCTTCAAATATAAAGGTGTAGTTACTGCGGATACTCCTTTAATCTCTCTGAACAAGAAGACTGTCTAAAATATCCCTCTACCTGACCTAGATGCTACAGAACATAGCAGAAGCCTGCCCCAACTCAGCAGGGATTCAGCACACTGACACCACACAGTGCACTTCGGTCTGCTTTTGGATTTGTTCTGAGGTAAAGGAATGGCAGCATTTGCAACCACAAGCTAAACATGAACTTCTGTTGCACAAGGTATGCTTAGTGATCTGTTTACTAAGAGAGCAATTTTGATTAAAACTCACAACAACTTGAGCCTAACCTGAAGAACACACAAATGTCAGTAAAGTATCTGAAAGTCATCTAAGCATTACTTAGACCAACCAATTCATAAAGGATCCAACAACCCTCTTAGCATACACCCAAGGTCAAGAGAGTGCCTGTTTTTATCTCTAAGATATTCTTATCCTTAAAAGCACCTCTCTATACCTAACCCCGAGCAGCCAGCAGAGCTCTGCGGATGACAGGATTGGCACTGTAGCAGTAAGCATCAAATACTCAAGTACTTCTGTGACTCTTGCACTTCCCACATCCCAGATGATAGGTGGACAACTGTTTATTTTAGTTCCCTGTCACATTTACTAACTGCTAGATCACAAGCTACAGTGGAGTCTTCAGCACACTTCATTCCTCGCCATACGAGCAATTTCTTTCTCCTTTTGTAGGCCCTCACCTAGATTCCCATCTGTTTGCCTCTGCTCCAGAAAGGCTCTCAATTAAAAAGACAGTCAGTTTTACTGTGCAAAACTGGCACAGCACAAAAAGAACTGTCATGGCTCACTTCAGATTTATTTTTGATGAACTGTCCTACAGCAGAGCTTTGGAACAAAACAGCACAATTTTAATTCCACTCAGAAAGCTTATCTGGTGCAAGCATATAGTAATAGAAGCATGACACACAGGTACAGAGAGTTAAAAAAAAAAAAGACTACCGGGGTTTCTTGTCCCCCTATATACAAGTTCTGGTTTTACACTTATAGTCTTTCAACTCTGTTTTGCAGATTATTTCACCCCCAGGCAGACAGGTGCTCCAAGTACGATCATCTTTGCTGCAAAAAAGATACATGGCACTTATATTGCACAGTGCAACTCAAAACTCAGTTACATGGGTACAGATAGTAACAGAATTTTGCACTACAGCTCTAAGTTAAAACTGAAGTAGTTCACACCACTACAAGAAGCATGCCTGAAAACATAAAGGTACCAAGGAAATAAAACACTGCATCTAATTAGTTAGAAAGTTTATTTTTGCAAAGCCTTCATTGTGAACAGACAAGGTAACCCCCACTACTCACTTAGCTCATTTTTATCAGGAATGAAGTCTACAGGATAGACTTTCAGTGAGAGCAAAAAAAGGTGCTATGAATAAAGAAAGTGAAAATACTCAACTGTACCAAGTTTGGTTGGTTTTTTCCTCACAAAAGCTTGCAATTTTAATACAGAGGAAAGTCATCCAAAAAGTAATAATTTGACTAATGTTTAAAGTTTTCCATAGAGGTGAAAAGAAACTCTTTCCAAAGGGAAATACATTTATTTTTGAATGGTTGCTCTTTAAGGCAATGCAATTGCTTTTTTCCTTTTAATTAGAATTAATGAAAAAGAAGAGTGTTTCTTGTCTCCTTTTTTATAACAGTAATTTCAATGTATACTTTACTGTCAAACACTGTCTACACATCTCACACTTGGGTAAGATGTAGCTGTTATATGCTGAAAATTACAAATTACACTAATCAAAACATGTAAATGCAAAAACACACACGCGACCTGTGTGTTTTTCAAGCTGGGCATCTCTGACACACCCTCTCTCTTGGAACTGTTTCACCGTACTACCATACCCCGAAACAGTACAGAAAAAGACTTTCTTTTTTTTGTTTCCTTTACCCTAAGCAGCACAACCCATCGCTTTAAGATGGAAATGGGAGTAAGAGCACACTGTTGTTTTTTCGCAGAAAACCTTGGTCTCTTATCCTCTTTTGTAATCTGGGGCCAGTGCGAAAACAGTTGGATTTGATTTTATTTTCCTCTCTGCAAACTTTGGTTTCCTTCCACCGCTCCTTCACAAACGCGAACAGAAGGGTACAAGGATCTCAGGTCCATCTGACGGGTTTGGCGCAGGAAGTGTCAGTCAAATTCTTCCATTTGCTTTGACACGAGTGGTGGTGGGGTGCTTAGACGAGACAAACATCCCTGTCATCCCCTTTTCATTTTGTGATAAGCCAGAGGGAAGCTCGCTGGTCAGGGCGCTGCCCGCTTGTCCTGCTCCATGGCCACCCCCGGCACAATCCCTGCGGGCTGCCCGCCCGGCCCGACCCCCCCGCCCCGCCCGCACACACCGGCCGGAAAGAGCGAGCGGCTTCTCCCGGCGGCCGGACTAGGTGGGGCTCGGCTCGGACTTCCCGCTGACAACGCCGGCGGCCGCCGGGGACCGTCCCCTTCCCCGCCCGCGGCAGGGCCGAGCCGGGCGTCACCCGCCCCTCCCCGCGGCCGCCCGGGCCCCACGTCGCGGCCCCGACCCGCGGGGTTACAACTTTCCGCTTCCGCTCCAACTTCTGCTCTGGGGACCGGCGGGCGGGGGGCGGCGGCGAAAGGCAGGGCCGGGCCCCGGGCCGGGCCGCGGCAGCTGCCCCTCGCCGCCCTGCAACCCCCACCCCCGCCGGGTCCCCCCGTGCCCGAGGCCGGACGCAGCGGCGGCTCCCGGTTCCTCCTCCGCCATGTTCCAGGCTGGTGCCCCTTCCCTCATAGCGCCGCTCCCCGCCGCCCCCCTCCCAGCGCCAACGCCGCCGCCCCCACCCCATCTAAACCCTCCCTTCCCCTCCCCTCCCCTCCCCGCCACCTGTACCAGAGGCGCGGCGCCGCTCCCCGCCACGGCGGCCCGGCCCGGCCCACCCGCGCTGCCCTCCGCGACCCACCGGACAGCGCCTCCGCTCCCCGCCGCCTCGCCGGCCGATGCCGCTGCGCCGCGCCCGCCCCGCCGCGCTGCGCTGAGCTCCGCTCGCCGCCTGTGCCGGGGCGCGGCTCGGGGCCGTCGCCGTGACGCCGCACGCCCAGCCTCGCTCTGGCGCGGCGGGGGCGGAGGGAGGGGCGGGCGGAGGGAGCGAGGGAGGGGTGACCCCGCCGCACCGCCCCCTGCGCAGGCGCGCGGCCGCCCCGCCCCCGGCCCTGTGGCGGCGCAGGAGGGGGCGAGGGGCGAGGCCCCGGGGCGTGAGGGGAGCGGGTTGAGTTGTGGTGGCATCGCCCGTGTCCCCGCGTTCTTCGTCTTGGAGCTGTGGGTTAGTTACAGCTCAAAGGTGCGTCTAAAGCACGTTATGGTTGCTCTACCTTAATTAAGAACATAAAGAGCTGCAAGCGCAAATGCCAGTGCAGTTTTTCTCGCTTTTGTAAAAGGGTGCTGAGATCCACTGGTGAAGGGTGTTTCCGAAATGCCACATGCTGCTGGATTTATGTGGATCGTTACGCCTCTGGATGTGAACAGCCTATCATTAGCCTTGCTGATAGAAAGCAGGATGCCCATTGCCTGCAAATAATTATGGTATTTCCTAGCCTTTCTCTTATTTCAGTCCTAAATAATGCAAGTCGCTCTTTTTTTTTCCCCGGAGTGTCACTAATATTTTCCAGTTACATAGAGTTTAGCTGATAAAGGTTAAAAATAAATGACCGCTTAAGTTTCTAGGAAACAGTAAGCAAATGGTTAACGTGGTACATTCAGATTAAAACTTGTGCTGAGAGGAAGTCCGCAGCAGAGTGTGTAAAACTGACAGGAAGTTGCAGTGAGGCTTCTGGCAAGGAGAGTGGGTGTAGAGGAAGCACACGCTCTCTGTAGGGCAGAGATAGGAAAGAGAGACCATACAGCTTCCAGTGACTGTGTGGGAGACGCTGGAGCTAAGAGCACAGTCAAAGAATGACCGAAATGAGCTGAAACGCTGAAATGAGCTGCCCTTGGTAGGGGTAGCTGCATCCAGATTCAAGGCATCCAGAAAGTGACGCATGTAAAAAATATTTTTCTTTTACAGTGTTGCTCCCAAATCTCGAACGTCATAAAATCTCTTCCAAAGTCCAGACAAATCTCTTGGTGTTTTACGGCTTAAACCCTTGTGCAGTACTTTGATAATGAATCCCTGTAAATGATGGATAATGCAAGAGAGCTCTGGTTGTGAGAAATAAAGTCCGTAGAAACCAGTCCTTTCTCAGCGGAGGATCCTATGCAGGGCAAAAATCATTAATGAGAGATGTCAAAATAGATAAAATACAGCCTCTCAAGTAAAAATTGTAAAAGCGTCTCATGCAATTATTAACTGTGTAGCATGTTTACTCACCAGATACAAAAACCTTTGTCTCCTTAGTCTTTTCTGTCAGTAGATATTATTATCAGCACCCAGAAATATTCAGAGGAAAAGAACAAAGAAAGATATATATCCTCTGCTCTCACAACTTTCTTCAGTGAACTAGGTTAATCACAAATAACTAGCGGTGTTCCGGGAACAGATGTATGTCGTTGACGTAATAATATTTTACAGTGTGCCTTTAATTGTTCTGTTTTATAGGCACTGGGGCAAATCCTCTTCTTTGCTATACAGTGAGAAAACAGGAAGGGGCCTTTGGGAGTCTGAGTAAATCTCCCGTGAGCAGATCTTGGCATTCTGAGTTTCATACAGGGGTATCTGGAATGTAGTATTTTCAAAGAAGGTGTATCCATGTCTATACACATATGTTTTGCTTAATATAGACATGCTTGGAGATTGCTTACTGTAACTAGAAGAAATAGGCAATTAGGATCCATTCTAAGCAAGAGGCCGAGTGTGGCCTTTTCCCAACTCTCTCAGCCACATACTTTGAATGTAAATTGGGCCCTTAATTTTGGATTTTCCTGTGAATCATCTAGCTAATCCTCAGCACAATTCTTAAACCAGCTTTACTCATATCAGCGTGACTGGCAAATAGCAATTGGTGTGCTTGTTAAGCATACTCATCCAGTACTTTACAGGGCTTGTTCTGCTCAGCTTGCTAAGAGTTTCTTATGTACCTAATCACTGATGGTCACTCGAGCAGCTGAGCAAGTGTGGAGGTGCCTCTATGGCAGAGCAACTCTGCAGAGAACCAGGGATACGGGTGAAATGGGGGAGATATGGCCACGGTGCTGTTGTGTTGAGTAGCAACAACACAGATGCACCAGCCTGTCTTAGTGGGCCTGCCTGTGCCCAGCACTGAGCTGGAATTTTTAAAAGAAGGACATCAAATACTCAGCCACCTGCTTACTGAACAAAAACCAGAAGAGACCTGCTTATGCCCATAAACTTTTACATCAAAGAGACCTTTCAAAGCACTGTAGCCCTTGTCCTTTGCACTGTAACTTCTGTCTCCCAATTTACCAGTTGTCTGCCTGTACTTTAAAAACCTCTTATTTCAATGACCAGTGTTTAGCTGGAGGTAATTCAGCCTGCTCATCATTAACACAGTGAGTTGTCTGATAATATCATGGCTCTTGTGAGGAAGAAGGGAACACAGAAGATTCCCTCTGATGGAAGATGAGGAGGAAAATATTGACAAAACTTGTTAAAAAGTTCTGTGGAATTAGTGGGGGAGTAAGGTGGGGGTTGATAGATTATTTGGGGAAAACAAAGTAATATTTTTTTTAAATGGTTCTTTAATAAAAACTTGGCAGGGCCGCTTTTGGTCACCTTCATGTAATTTTTCTAACTTTGCCTGCATTGTTTTCACTGGGGCTGCATGGGTGTCAGAGTGAATAATGTGGCACTATATGTATTGCAGTTTCATTACTGCTGAAATACAGCCACCTCTGGGACAGAATGCAGAGCTGGCTTGTGCCAGAAGACTCTGAAGTTAAATGGGTATGAGGTGCCAGGGAATATTGTGCTGGCTGCATGCCAACTAGCTGTGAATTTTTCTAGAAATTTGTCCCGAAGGGAGCCACATGTCATTTGGTCAACCTAGGAGGATGATTTGGTTTCAGAGAAGCAGCAAAGTTCTTGTCTTTTAAGGTGAATGGGCTGAAAGGGGTTGATTTTTAGCTCAGAGACTTGGTTGTTCCAGCAAGAGAATGCTTACTAGATCAGAATGTGCTTTGGATCATGGAGCACAAAAGAAAATTTCAACATTAAAGTAAAATATCTGTTATTTTTGAGACATAGGTGTGTGAGATATTTTCATCGTTCTTTGTGCTTCAACATGATTTTTATTTGGTATTTCTCCATTCTCAGAAGAATTAGTCACATAGAATGGGAATACCTGTCTATCTGAATAGTACCTTGAGATATTTCAGGGATGTGAAACTACAAACTCGATGCAATTTCTCTGTGTCTTCATATCTATTGATACAGCTTCAGCCTGAGGTTTTTCAACAGATAATTATCAGTTCTACTAGTTCATCATCTTCACTTCTAGCATAGCTTCCATTATGCAGTTCTGTTTCTTAACCTCTCTTCATTGCATCTTCTTGATGTACTGCCATTTGCTAATCAAAATTGTTTAAACAGTGAGTTAATCACAAGCTTGACTGAAACTTAACTTCAAGACTTTTTTCCCAACTCTTTCACTTTCCATTGTTGAGGAAAATTCTCAGTCACTCTGCTGTCTTCTTCCTCCAAACTATCTTGAATTAATTCTTTTTCTTGTCTCTTGGGGATGTTCTATGACTCTTGAAATTCATCTGCCAAAATCTCTTACTGAGCTAACCCTTTTCCTTATCCTTGGCCCATTATTTGTTCATATAATATAGTCCTCCCTTTATATTGTGATTTGTCTCTCTCCCTACCCTGTGATAACTACTTTGAGGAGCAAAATTTGCCTTTGTTTTTCTAAGCTGGGGAAGAACAGGCAATGGACACTACTGCAATTTAAATTGTAAATGTCAGCATTTATTTACAGGGGTCTCATTTTTTAATCTATTTTCTTCTGTCTTTATTATGTTACTGCAGTTACTTCAGATAAAGCAAGGAATAGCTGTTTCACAACATAGCTTTTGTGAAAGCACAGTACTCTGAATTGCTTATCAGATTAAGGAACAAGATTGTCACAGCAACATAAGTGTTTTAAAAGTGTAAATGAAGAATAGTGTATCCTCTTGAAACTAATGAAGCAATGTAGTTACCTGGAGAAGAATCTGTCTGGGATAAGGGTGAACACTTCTCTCAAAAAAACCCGAAAGTCACACACACACGTGTTTTCATGGTTTCAAAGCTTCAGAAGTTTTACTTCCCTGCTTTTCCAGGAGAACACTTTTAGCACCACATGATGCAGAAAGATTACTACTTTCTGAATCACCAGCTCCTGCGATACCTGGATAGTTCTTCAGACTCTTCCTTAAAAGGACTGGGTGAAATGGCAGTTAACTGATGATGATGACTGATACATTCACAATTTATATAATGTCAGTATAAAGTTGTAAACAAACAGTTTCTTCATTTATAATTCCGCACTATTCCTGAGAATGTCCTTCTTTACCCCACTGCCAGATATTTTAGAATAATGCACTGAGCAGAACAGAACAGCCTGAGCAAAGACAGCACTGAGTCCATAGTAGTAATGCCTACCAAGTACAGAGAAAGTGGGTACTTTTGACTCTGCTTTACAAGAACATGAAAGTACAGAATTTTTTTTGGTAAAAGAGTGTTTTTACTTGGTAAAAGAGTGTTTATAATTATAATTGAATGTCAGTACCAACATTTTAACCGTTGTACCTTTCTTTTGTTATTTGATTTTTTTTCCTTTTTCATTGTTATTTTTTTTTTAGAATACTCATTTACATTCAGATTCTGACTCTCTGCTGGAGAAGAAAGGTTCCTGTTGGTTTTAATGAGCTTTATACCAGGACTTAAATTCAGCCCTTGAGGGATGTGCAACATTTAGCAATACTTGCATTTAAAATATATATTCACTTCTGGTTCACGTCAATATTAAGACAGGAGCAAGTATATTTAACGATGATAGGTCTAAAAATACTCAGTGTTTTTGTCCTGCTTCCCCTAGCAGCAGATTTATATCCCAACTAACACAGCAATTTACACTGACATAGTAGATGTGACTTTTCTTTTTTGTTTCTGTCCACTTCAGAATCAAGCCTTAATTAACACAATGGGCCAAAAGCATTCACAGGGGAAAAATTGTTTACATTAGCAGTTCATTAGTTTTGGTACTCAGTTTGGTTAGCACAAAATGTACAGCACAGAAAAGAGAATTTATTTCGTAACTTTGTGAGATCATTTTCTTCTTAGCTTTCTTTGTAGATGTGGCCTTGTTCTGCTGTGTCTTTCCTCTGGCGATGGATGCTGTTGCTGAAGCTACAATCAAGAGAGAGGTCTTAATGAGGACGGTGAAAATCTACATCAAGGAATAAACATATTCCTTGCCTTTTAAAGCTAGCCAAAAAGCAGGTTATTTTTTTTTCCATTAATCTTTTTTTTTCCCCAAAGGAATGCATTATGGGATTTTTTAGCTGATAAAAATTTCTTTGTTTTACTTCTTTCTTAAGAAGTCCATAAATGGCAAACCCCTCAAACAGTCATTTCATTACAGTGTTCACCACTAATCCAACTGTACCTATTATAGTTAGAAGGTAATATTTTAGTGAAATTTTGTATCCTCTAAATAACCATTGTAAAACCAAAAAATGTTGACAAGCAGGCTGATTTTGGATAAGTGCATATCTTCCAACCATCTCCCAATGAGTTGTTACATCTGCCACAGGCTATGGCTCACAATCTGATCTGAAAAGGTTTTGATGTTTCTTCATGTCCAACGGGTGCAATGATAATCAGTGGCATTGGACCTGTGCAGAGACCAAGGCTGCCTCCTCTTGCTCCCTCTCATCACACTCTGCAGCTTTTTTGCCTCACTTTAGTCCATCTTTCAGGGTGCTTCATGAGCTAGTGGGCCTGCGACCTATTTACCCCTTTCTGCTGCCACCTTCAGAAGGACTCGGGGGTCAATTCCCTTCTTGCTCCTTAACTGTCCTGAGGGTCTGAATAGATTATTTGTGCAACAGATTTATTTTATGAATATTTCCATTCTACTACTGCTGTATTATCCAGTTCTGAACTTCAAATTGAAGATTTCATAATATCCTATTCCCATGAGAGATCTGTGTTGTTATATTCAATTTTTGTCAATAAAAATACACATTTGAAATGAAAATGCTGTCCTTTCCAAACCTTTCCTAGAAACGTTTCAAGGTCCCAAGTCTTTTAACTGCCTCTGCACTACACAGAATCTTCTGTTAAAACCTTGAGCGGCATAAAATTTATTATAATTCGAACTTTAGACAGGATTTTAACATTCAGAGGAGGCTGGGTGAAGAGAAGCTCTGTGAATCACTACCAAAGACAGGGACAGAATGGAAGCCGTTGCCCTAGTATTGCATTTCCTTCTGTGAAGATGATACTCCTGTTGCCCTGGTGTTGTGTTTCACATGCTAAGGTAATACTTCACGGACTATGCTGTTTGTGCAGCCTGCTTGTGTGCACCCTGTGGCATTTCCAAATTCCATTCAAATGAGAGAAGACATGGGGCCATGATTTTAATGATGTAACATAAAAATTCTAATTTATTTTAATGGTGTTGCTACTTGTTTTCCTTCCTGCTTTTCCTAAATTTTGGGGTTTTTTTCTACATTTTTCCTTTTCATTCCATTCTTCCTTAAAAAATCATCAGATTATGTGAGTTTCGGACTCCAGTGAGGACACAGTGAATTGAAGTAATGGATTTCATGCTGTCTTTCTCTAACTCCTATAATTTTGTCTAAGATTTATTATATATAATCCCATTATTTTATAAAATAGCAACTTTCCCCTTTCCCCCTTCTCTTTATCTTTTATCTTCTCTCCCACTTTGCTTTAACAGGGTAGTTTAAAGATTGCAAGTTAGTTCTAGGGTGGAGTTGTGTGATATAATCAACTTCAAAATAGTATTTAAATTTCCTCTCATCCACTACTATACTGAAATTTATGCTGAGAGATCAGCATTTACTTTTTATTTTATTTCTTTATGCTTCTGCAATGTTATAAAAAGAGAGGACTGTAGCTTTTTTCCCTCAAACCACTCCTAGATTAGCACCGTGTTATTTAACAATTCTGGTACATAACCATGGATTCAGAGAAAAAGCAGTGCCTTGGAGATAAGAGTCATTTTATAGCCAGTTCTTTTGAATAGCTTTTTATCATTTAAGTGATTTTTTGTCTGTCTTTTGGCATTAAGTAATGGAGGAAAAGTCCTCAGGGGGTAATCCTTCCTTTTATAGAAGTTCTGAGGCACTTCAGGCTTTCCCAGGTTAGCCCATTTCCTGCTCTCCCTGTATCTGCCCTGTTCTAGGCATAATATTTTATTTTAGTTCCCAGAAACATTCTGTGCACAGTTCAGGCTTTTTGTGAAGGCTGGAAGTGCAGTACTTGAGCATATGGACTCCAGAAAGTGAACAGAACTGCCCACAGTATTTAATGTATGTAGAACACTGAGTGTCAACAAGTCACTGGGCCAGTAATTCGCAGCATTTTCCATACACAGAATTTCTGCACATCCAGCCAGAATGTGATTAGATGGCTCACTCAGATTAGAATGTAGGGAGGACAGTCAATCATGACTCCTTTCCACATACATGACACCCCTGTTGAAAAGCTGAGCGTGTACTTGTCCAAATTACACTGTGGAGATATATTTTTTAAATGGTCTGTAATGAGCTACCTATGCACAACAGAGTCATGAACCATTCTGTCATATAGATGCCTCTTAGCTTGTTCCAGCTCATTTCAGGTTTGTTAGAATATGTCCGAGGCAGCTTGGTCCATGATTAGGACCCCTAAGCACCACTAATAAATCTCAGCCCTATTTTCTTTCAGAGTATATCAGTGGCAAAAAGCTTGCCAGCTGAACCTCTTACGGAAACTGTAATTTCTCTAAAAGACAATTAAACCCATATATCCAGTGTCCTGTGATTTGGTACCGGTATCACATAAAACAGGTTCCATGTAGTTACGTGGAAAATTTGTAAGAAGGACAGATGAACCTTAGGTCTGCCCTTCTATATAAGCAATCACATAATATATAAACAAACTACAAAATCAGTCAAAGAATATTGTTAAATAAATCTCCAAAGTGAAATTGATTTGGTTATTTTCTTACCCACACACTTCATAAACATTTACATGTAGGCAAAAAACCAAATAGGCATTTTTGATACACCAGTTTCCTAATAATTTGTCCACAGTCTCATAGATTATAAGTGACAGCATTAATATTTGGAAAAATGCACTATACCTATATACAGGTAAACACACAGTTAGAATTACTCTGGCAATCCTATATTTGAATTTCTACACTTCTTTGCAATGAAATGTTTGACCTTCATGATGTTTTTTTAATTTAATATACTGATGAAATTGGGGCAGAGAATACAGATGACTGCCTCTGAGCCCTCAGGCTCCTGATTATCTCAGGATAACTGTGCCTTCCTGGAGTTGCTCAACTGCTGCATTAACAGTCTTTACTGTGAAGAAAGCAGCATTAGATAAACATCATTCAGAAGGGTATCTCTGATTGTTTGAGCCTATGGAAATAATTTGCCCCAAGCATCAGCAGTAGATAGGTGTGGTTTTCAGATCATCAAGAAATATCTTTGGCTGGTATCAGTGCTGTGTCATCCTTTTGTTTTAAATGACACTGAGTGTATCACTAACGTATTTACAAATTTGATTAAGTCACAATAGTCAAATCTTAGTATATTCATAACAGCTTGATAGACTAGGGAGTTACCTGCCCTTTTTTTTGTGTTTGAACACCTCATGCAGAGCCAGTAAAAGACATTTATTCCTGAGTATTGGCTAGTGCCAGCAACAGCTGCCAGCAGCTGAGGGTGGCACTGTGAAGATGCAACTCTCAACAGAGGCATCCCAGCAGATATCTTCACTCCGCAGTTAAGCAGCTTTTCAAAACAGGCCACCATCCTTGTGGTTGCAGTCATTACAGCGAACAGCTCCAGGGACTGAGGAGCTTCTAAGCCATACAGGGCTACCATGTGGATTCAAACTGGATGATAACTCCACTGGAGCAGGAGACCTTGTGGTTGTCGTCTCTGGCTGTTGTTGACAAGGAGCGTTTTGAAGACGACCTCCTTTACCTTTCAGCTTCACATCTTCAGTATGTGTTTGTTCCTGTTAGCACATCCGCCAGTTTTGTCCTTCTGCATATTTCACCCATCTTCATATAAATGTCCTGCAATTCCCCCTGCTCAAGTGCAGAGGCTGTGCACTCTTGTGTTGTTACACCTGAAGTTCACAGCTCATGTAACTGCCAGCACAGAAAATGATATAGATATACCCTATAGGAAGTTTGGTGCAGTAGAAGTGTTGGCATGCTTGGAAACTCCAACTGGAAGGTCTGTCCCACATAAATGAGGCCACTATTCCAGCAAATTACATCTATTTCTGCTGTGTAAAACTAGGGAAAGTTTGGTTTCCTGGGACCTTGCTGTGCTTCCAGATTAATTGCATCCAAATTAAATAGAAGGAACTGATATTATACTGGCAGTATCAGATGTTCCTGATTAATTTATTGATATACAAGTTCTGTTATATTTCCCCATGAATGACAAGGGGCCTGATGGTAGTTCCTGGATATGTTGGGATCTATTTGAATACAGTAAAAATCAGAGTCATTTTAAGGAGGAAAGAAAAGAAGGAAAGAAAAGAAAATATAGCTAGATTGTTGATCACTTTGGGGGGGGGGCAGTTTTACGTTAATCTGTCCTCAAATATAGTTTATTATTAACAATTTGGATATTGATAGAATATCTATGGCACTGGCTTGCCATCGGAATCTATGTTGAGGCATCTTTTTATACACTACTTTTGTTTAAAACTTCTCTCTTGTCTCCAGGGAATTTAGTTTAAACTACCACAGCTCCTTTTTTATTTCTTAAATTTTTATTCATATGTGCCTCAAATTATTATACTCTATGTTAAAGTATCCATCACTGCCTTGGGCATATATGTATCAAATCACATAGATATACACTAATATTTGCCATTTTTTCATACAACACACATTATTGTAACAACATCATACATACACTTACACATACCTATAACATATGCAATTATATAGAGATATGTAATAATAATAATTACAATCATGTATAAATGTATGTGGCGAGAAAGATCATAAGAGGATTGTAACAACATGCTTGCTATTACTAGTGGTACTTATTTGCAAGGAGAAAACTAACCAAAATAACTGTAGTGGATTACGTGTGCCTGAAACAGTAGTTGCCCTAGAATTGGCATTGTAATTAAAATTCATACCTTACTTTAATCCAGAAAAATGTTATGAGGTACAGAAACCTCCTCGTTATTACTAAAAAGTTCCCTACGAGTTGCAAGATGCATGTTGTGAGCATGTATCTGCAGGCAGAAGTTACTGTACTTTTTGTACAAAGACAGAACAGTGCCACAGAAAGGTGTTAACACTTCTGCTTTCTAAGACTGTGGTTTGTGAACACTGATGGCTTCTGAAGCCTCTCCTCTTTCCAGAGCAAACGCTCACGAATCTGCCACAGGAAGAGATAAATGGCTAGACTTCAATCCCAGCCTGCTTCCACTCCTCTGAACGGCTTATTCAGAAGCACTCGGCTTTACAGACATTTTATCCTGAGGCTTTTATCGCTGAAAGGAAGGGGGCACATGATTTCCTTGTTCCCACTGCCGGCTCCCCAGGTTGTGCATAGATCTCTTGCCACAATAGGCTGTAGTTTCAGCAGCAAGCACCAAACAGGCCATAGCTACAACCTCAGCTGTTCTCAAACTGAGATAGATCCATGAAGTGCCACTGGTATTTTGGTTGCAAGATGATGATATGAAAACTTGTTTGAATGATACAAAGTAACCCCTTATAATTATACTGATTAAAATGGAGAGGATGGCAGACCATGCACTTTTGCATCAAAGATATTGGCTGTGAAGTTTTAAGGTCTGAAAATCATTTGTTCTGTCTTAAAGAAAATGTTTCTGTCAGTGCAAAGTTTGCCAGTTTAATCATATCTGCATTCTGTGCAACACATAGTCCTCTGTTTAATCAATTCGAGGGTCTGATCACATATTTACAACTAAGCTATAACTTTCAGAGCTTGTAGTGCACAATCAGATTTT